TTGACAATCTCACCGCCAGACGGTTCTCAGCACAGCGGGAAACACTACTGCTGTCAGTCAATCACAACTGACAACCTCACCACCAGATGGCCCTCAGCACAGAGGGGAAACTATTGTTGTCAGTCCTTCGCTCGTGACAACCTCACCGCTAGATGGTTGCCAGGACCGCAGGAAGCATTACGCTTGTCTGCTCTTCAGATGTTTCTCACGAGCACATAACACATCACTCCAAATTAGCACAATAAGATCGTAAAGCCAAATAAATAAATATATTAATCAAGTTTCTACTGAGAGTATACTAAGATACGGCATCGTAGAAGCCACCTGTCAACATATTTGCAACATTTATGACACATGTGCAACACTTAGGCAGCTTTATAGCTTTATTGTGGAGACTTTTGCCACAATGACTATCAATAAAGCCACTGGTTGGTGAATCGTCTCCATAATACACATATCCAAGTGTTGCAGATGTGCCTAATTTATCTACTTGTCTGTTTTGTAAACCTTTAATATACGTACTACTGGCAACATCATTCACGATCGAGGCGAGGGGAGGTATGACCAGACCTTTGGTAAGATGGGGAAGGAAGAAGGATGGGTAAGGATGGAAATATGGGAAAATGGTGGGTGGGTGGAGGGGAGGTGGGGTAATAAAGGTAAGTGACCTAACCACTTTGGTGCATTTTATATAAGTGTGTGTGTGCGTGTGTTGTGTTATTCATGTATACATTGAACTCATAAGATGGGTATACTTCCTGAGTCCTGCCCATCAGCTGCTCCCAGTTATACCAACTGTATATGCTTGCATGCCGCTGAGTTGGAAGGATGCATACTTTTTGCACTTGCCTTTCGGTCCTGGGGCCTTGATCACTTCAGAAGTGATATCTATATATAAAACCCTATTTTTAAAGGGGTGGACCGGTAAGCCAACAGAAGGCCTCGGTCAAATGACCAAAAGTTCCATCGGCGGGTCATGTGACTAAGACCCGTGTCAGGAAACACTTGTCGTGTTTCCTGATGAATCTTGCCTAACCTAACCTCAGAAGTGATCAAGGTCCCAGGACCGAAACGTTTTCTAATAAGTATGTCCTAGTGTTTGCTCAAGTGTCTTTCTAAACTAACTTGTCGGTGTCTCATTACCAAGGTTCATACCAGCTGTGAGTTTCTACCAATGAGATTACGCGAACATGTGACACCACGTACCCACGGTTTCTTGAGCTGTGCAAAACTGCGTTAAAAATGAGGCAAGGCTTTTTGTAATGTACAAAACTGAAACAGTAATGGTCTACGGGGTCTGGCGTCGTGGATAAAGTACCGTGTACTCTGATGCAGAGTTTGCAGGTTCGAGTCCTGCTGTGGACGTAGAGATAATGTTTATAAAAAATTCCCCGAGCCAAAATGGTAACTTTTCCTTCATCTCCAACCTAGACATATATCACCACCTCACTACACACCAAGCCTGTAAATGAAGTGGTGCAAAAATCTTTCTCGATTCCCATTATTAAAATAAGATTTTATATATTAAGCTCCGACACTGAAGATAGTTGTCCTCAATGCAATTTAACATAAATAATTACAACAAAAATGTTTTGAAATAAACAAAATGCAATAAGACTGCATAATAATAAAAAAAATAAACACTTATCGCTATACTCCAGCAGCTGACACCAAACAGTGGATATATACACCGTAAGGTGTATATCTCACCGTATACATGCTGAGAATTTTAATCCTTATTTAAAAAATTAATGTATTCTTGACTGGTGTTGAAAAAGTTGTGTACATCCTTAATGATCCTCGTGTGTCGATGGGCTTTAGGACCAATTAGCCAACCGACACTTTAAGCCCGTTCACATTATTTTAATTCAGTTCCCGTCATATTACATGTCAACAAATCACCAGGATTAAATTAGTTTGGACCAATCCATTTATTAGTCACAAAAAATGTCATTTAGCGGTGTGCCCAATACAATGAGATATTTTTTGCGATTATTAATATGAAGAGCTAAACCAGTGGGTCATACAGCACTATAATATTGAGGGCTCGATCCCCTGTACGTTATTCACAAGCGAAGCTCTATCACTCAGGCTTTCGGTAAAATGCAGCAGCAGCAGCAGCAGCAGTAAGAGTGAAAACACAACAAAGAAGCAAAAACTGAGGTGTTTCCAGAGGCGGTGGCAACTGGAAGTCAGTGGGAGAGAAGCAGCTTATGGAGACATACTGTGTTCCAGGCTCCAGCATCACCACACGTTTTCATCACTACTAACTGGGACTTGGGGAATGGCACTCCTGGCTCAACATATCCTCATTCTGACGACAAAGACCAGGTCGGAAAATTAGTATTTTATTGAAAACTTTTCGCTGTGCAAGATCTTTATTAAATCACGAGCTTGATAAAGCTCTGCACAGTGAAAAATTGTCCTGATAAAAGCTTACTTCAGTAGCTTATCTTGTCATCATACTTGTTAGCAAGACGCCATTTCAGCCGCATCCTCATTCCGCAGCGTTCGTTTCATACAAGTCTCCCAAAGTCAATTCTGAAAATTTCGCTGCAGACTGCATATATATTGTCCTTTTTAGGTTAACTTTATATAACAGAAAAACGTCAACAGAACCATCGCTACCCCACCTTCATGAGACCGTAGACACCGTTTTGTCTCGTCCTCACAAGTTTCATCACTATTAAACAGATCTTGTGACCTGACAGACAGAATAACAGCAACAGGCTGCACATCTAAAAGAGAAATGGTTATAACTATGGCCATAATTTTTAAAGGGGTGGACCGGTAAGCCAGCAGAATGCCTCGGTCAGATGACCGAGGCCTTCCGCTGGCGGGTCATCATATGACTAAGACCCGCGTCAGGAAACAAGCCTTACCCAACCTAACCTGCACACTAGTACTTAGTTGGTAACAACCAATGTGAATACTAAAAGACTGGAAACCAGGCACAGCAACTAGACTTTAATACACCAGGCTTTCATGCATTGACAGTGACACACGGACCTTGGCCAGGCATCATAAAGGATCCTGAGGATGACAGCTTGACAAAAAAAAAAAGCCTCAGAAGACAAGTAGTGAAGTCTTTACAACGGCAGCTGGCAGAACGAGTCCCACCACGTGAATAGTGGCAGGTGGTGTCTGCCAGTGATAGCGGGTGAATACTGCCACTGCATCGAGGGACATTAAGAAGTGACGGGTCATCATAAGTCATCACAGTTTATGTTTACTCTGCTCGTTGTTGCTCTTTTCTCTGAGTTTTATGCTCTCGTGAAACTGTGTACTCACCTATTTGTGGCTGCAGGGGTTGAGTCTCTCAACCTGTCCCTTCCCCATACACACATACAAACATCTAACAAAATATAACAGTTCAGATCCATCATACATAGGTTCCATAGGCATTAAACATGTATTGCCTTGCAAGATATCGCAGCATTATCTTTAGATAAGACAGTCGCTATATGATTAGATTGTAATATATAAAAGAGCAATTCCGTAATATCCAAATAAATAAATATTTACTCTGATATTATTATATTTCCCTGAAGAGGTACCTTCAGGTGGTTGCTTGATTTTTTTTCCTTTTTATCACTGCGATTTTCGTTTATAATTTGAGAACGCCTCATTCGATAGGCATTAAATTTTCAACACTGATGCACTGTAACTGTGTGATGGTTGTTTAATTATGGGCATGTGTTGGCGCCCTCTGGTCACATACATAGATCATTCCAGGATTTGGTTTTCGTGCGATAACATGAGAATGCTTTGTATGGTCGTCTTAAGCTTCCAACTCTGATTTATCCTATTTAGAAGACTGGTATTGTTATTGGTTTGTCGGCGCAAATTTGCCAATTTTTATTTTTAATTTGATGTAAAATGCTTCTGAACAACTTCAGTGTTCAGTGATTAATGCAGGTAATATCAGAACAGGATGGCAACCATGTATATGCAAATTTGCTATTACGATTTCGCAAGTCAGTTAATAAACTTGGAATTGTTGGTTTCTGAACAATTTTGGAGAATGCTACGTCCGATCGGCTTCAAAAAAAAAAGAAAGTTTCTTGGAACTCTGGGTACATGCAGTCGCCCTTTTGTTATTTTAATATAGATCATTTCCGATTTTGGTTTCCATGCCACGAAATACTTCTATTATGTTCATGGGTAAGCGCTAAGCCTAAAGGAATTATATAATGACTGACGAATGGCAGAAAATCACTTCTGGTCCAAGAAAAAAAGAGAGTAGTTCCAATCCCTTGAATGAAGAACCCTTCACCAGCATCAAGGCACCCGCCCCCTTGATGGGCGAAATCTGATAGCTACACTTCTCGTGTTAGCGCTCACAAGATGAACGAGCCTATCCTCATTCCCTTAACATTGTTACACAATGTCCAACACGTCAAACAGGACTTGCATTTAAGTTAGGCTACGCTTCGTACATGTACTCGCTCCAACTTCATCTGCAATAAATTAACCTAACTTGAATGGTAAGGGTAGGTTATTTTATAGGAACGTCATCAAGGCTGCATGTCGCCTGTACACCACCAGTCGACGATGCTTTATCCCTGATATAGAGTAATGTATGATTTAAATCAGGGATCCCCAACCTGCGGCACGAGGGCCGCATGTCGCCCTTCTAGGAAATGGATGCGGCCCTCACATGTAGGTTCCTCACTGCAGTGTCAACAACTACATATTACCACTATTCATAAAACTATAAAAATTACAAAATGCGGCCCTCCTTTAAATCTGGCTTTTCAAATTGGTCCTTTCATACTAAAAGGTTCAGGACTATTGATTTAAATGTACATACACTGCTGCTCTCAATGCATGCACATACATTATTATTATTATTACAGTACATTAGTGGGAAAGCGCTGAACCCGTCAGGGTCCTACAGCGCCTCGGGGGATGGATGGTATTCAGAAATGATTCAAGAATTTGAGTACACGTCAAGTTCCTTGGATCAAGATCCCCCACCAACATCAAGGAACGTCCCTTGAGCGGCATACACATGGAGAGATACACACTTCAGAATACAAAGTGAAGTCACATGGTAACATCATGTAACAACATAACTAATGAGGTAACAATATATAACAACTAATTCGGTAACAATATGTAGCAACAACTAATGATCATAACAGATCAATCATCATGAGGAGGCAATTACTAATGATTAATGTTTATTTTGATTTAAATTATCAAAATGCAATGTTTTATTCACGCATAATTCACAAATGATGTTTAACATCTTAAAAACTTGAAACTTCACAAGCCTCATGCCACTTGAAGCAGCAGAATTAATACATCATGACGAAATTAACAATTTCTCTGTTAACTTCAGAACTTCATATTAACGTAAAAAAAATTCCGAAAGAAAACCCACTAAGAACAAAGATTCAAAATCAATGTTATTAATAGTAGTCAGTGATGAATGACCTATTAGGATTAAAGTTTTTTAAATACAATTATAATAACGATAGGGGTTAAAATATTACAAATACTCGTATTTTGCGTCACTGTCAGCTGCAGTACTACACAGAACTGAGATTTCTCTTTGTTACCATAGTATCAGTTGCGAGAGGAGTGGGACCCACATAATGACTGGTGTTACTCTATCATATGATGTAGTGTGTTATTGTTTGTTGCATCTGGCCTCGGCACCTTCTCCTTTTTCCACTGAGTCTTCTCGCCTTGCAGTGACAGCTGCAATCGTGCAACAAAAAAACGTCAACATTTGACGAGATAAGCATGACCTTCATCATAACAAGTTCCTTGTTGTTTATAACCATTCTCAATACACATGTCTCAGTTTCAGTAAAAAAATCAGAGTTCAAAATACAGTAGTCATCAGACTGGAATGGTTACCCAAAACATATTACTTGTGAGTGTTATTTATTGTAAACATCATTTTCAATCAGGCGCGATTCTTAGCAGATCATATTATAATTATCTCAGGCACAGAGTTGAACGCTAAACTCGCAGGATTCATACAGCGCCTGGGAATGGGAAGATGATGAATCCAAAGGAGTTTAGTGTCATTTTCTTCGAGCAAGAAGCTTACATCGGCCTTAAGACACCTACCTCCCTTAAAGGCTTAACGTTAAAAACATATATTTACTGTATACATTTTTTTATATCTTATTATCTCACTAAAAGAAACAACCACACTTCGAGGTTAGTGCTTTGATTTTTCGTATGGGGTGTAGCATGAATATTCTTCATCACACCAGTTCAATGTGCTACGAATGTTATAATTCATCACATTAGTTCAATTTGGTACGAATGTTATAATTCATCACATTAGTTCAATGTGGTACGAATGTTATAATTCATCACATTATTTCAATGTAGTACGAATGTAATAATTCATCACACCAGCTCCATGTGGTAGAAATTTTATAATTCATCACACCAGCTCCATGTGGTGATGTTGCACATAAACAATACCGCACACCAATCCTACATACACACACCACCCCCATCATACACATATTCCGTCCATAATAGACGATGCGAATAATGAAGGTAGATGTGCCTAGAGAGAGTTTCCACCTGGCCGCGTCTACACAACCAACCCTCACCACGGTCATCACAACACTGTCCGCTTTTTCCCCTCCCTTGGGTAGAGTAGTACTGTATATACACCCACTCCACTCTTCACTACCCTGCCTTCTCCACCCTCCAATACCACGCCCAATCCACCCAACACCCCGCCCTCACCTCTTTACAATACCATGCTCGAAGGTGCTGCGTAGAGACCATTCCATTCACAATCGCGAGGTCCCAGATTCGATTCACTGGTACTCCAAAAATGTATATAGGCAAGTTTCCTTACACCCCTGCCCATTAGCGGTTAAAATAGGTACCCGTGTGTTAGCAGACTGTTGTGGGTCGCATCCAGGGAAAAAGTATATAAAAAAAAACCAGTCCTGCTGGAATGTCATATCCTGTGTTGACAACGCTTCAATTCTGTGTACGAAAACTCCAAAACCTGCTGGAAGTATTAGTGTTAATTTAAAAGTATCCGTGTGCTTTATTAAATCAAAACTGCCAAGGAACACACGACCACTATGACAAACACCACACACAGCACTCACCCTATAACACAAGTCTCCTAACTCATGATGCCCTGGTTACCTAGCAATACGGAAACACCTATAAGTTAGTTGATTAATGTGGCTCACACTGTACGGTAACGTATCAAAAGGACCCAATGTGGTTAGGTATATGGTATACAGTCGTTCCGGAAACTACAGCAAATCACATCAAAAGATAAGCAGAGGTATCGTCAAGGATATTCACACCTGTTAGGACTGGATTGTCAGAGATGTCCGATAACAACACCACTTCAGCTTGGTGACGCAATGTATGTTCTGATGACGCAGCATATGTTTAGATAAGTGGAAGTATGAATATCATCTGAGGATGCCACTTGCTGCATACAGATGACAGGAATGATTACTCAAGCCTTTTAGTCTTCATTCTCGCTTAGTCGACTTTTAAACACACACACACATAATTGTCCGGAAGTGGAATAGTCTAGCAAGTGATGTAGTGGAGGCAGGAACCATACATAGCTTTAAGACGAGGTATGCCAAAGCTCAGGGAGCAGAAAGAGGACCTAGTAGCGATCAGTGAAGAGGCGGGGCCAGGAGCCGAGTCTCGATCCCTGCAACCACAGTTAGGTGAGTACAATTAGGCGAGTACACGCGCAAGCGCGCACATACACTCACACCCACCTACGTGCACGCACGTGCGCACACGCACAACACACACACACACACACACACACACACACACACACACACACACACACACACACACACACCCAAAAAAAAAAACCCTAGTAACAATGCACACACCAACTAGAACCTCACCTCTTCCATTGTACACAAATGCAGATGAATTATGAAACAACTGAGGCAGCCCTAGACCAGACATCATAGCTAACACAGATAAAACTAACAAATAATAACAGATGCCATAGTCTCAACGTGATACTAAATAATGAGGAAAGAGGTAACAGGTGAAGGGGAGGAGTTGCAGAGCTAATCAGGAACCAGTGGAATGTTGAAGAGATGAGAGAGAGAAATAGAAATGGGTCAACTGACGACACAGTCAATCATGTTTGAGGTTCCAAGTAGTAACAGCAGTGCTCTACAACCCACTACCAAATAGCAGGAGACCAAGACAGGCCTATGAAGACAAAGCAATAGCTGGCAGCAAAGTGGAAGCAACGAGAGTCTACATAGCCAAAGCAAAGCTACTAATCATGGCAGATTTCAACCACAAAAATACTCAGAAAGCGGGACCCAAATGGAAAGTTCAGAAACGGGGAAAGCAAAGGCCATAGAGATGGTGATGTGAAACTTTGTATCAGCACAGAATGGATGTAGAATTTACCAAATGTTCTTCTGATATAGTTAAAACAGAATATGAGAAGCTTCTGGTGATAGCGACCAGTGCTGAATATCGGATACCTTGTGGAAGTAAGCACTGAGGGAAGATTAGAAAGTGAGGGAATATGGGAGAGACCAGCTTTCAGAAGAGGAAACTTTGAATGGATGAGAGAATTCCTAAATGTAATACAATCGGAAAGGAAAGTCAATCTATGAAATGACAGAGCTCCTAGCCGGAAATTGAGGCAGAGAATTTCATATCAGAAGAGGAGGAAATGACAAAAAAAAGAGCCCAGGGTTCAACCAAAGATGCAGAGATGAAAAACTAAAAGCGCAAGAGCGTATACAAATTGTAGAAAGCGAAGGACAGAAGAAAACAGAGAAGCGAGCAGAAGAGCCAGAAACGAAAGAAAGTGCAAGGTTGAGGAGAGAAAATAAACAACAATTTTAGAATGACATAGCAGCAAAAGCCAAGGCTGCTTCACAGTCACACCAGAAAGTAATGAACAAACATGAGGTTGAGGAAGGATGTACCAACATGGTGAGTGAACGGCAGTGATATCCAACTGTAATACGTCACACACTCTGACACAGTAACACATGTCACACACACACACAAAGGCGGGGCCAGCTGTGACCCGACCCCTGCAACCACAACTAGGTGAGCACACACACACACACACACACACACACACACACACACACACACTTAATCCTACATATATATTCTAATGTGTGCAGTTTACCTTGGAAATGTTTTGGGTTCTGAGAGCCTGAGCAGCAATATAGAGCTAGGCTCCAGCAGCTTAAAAGGCTGACTTGATGGAGAAGCGAGTCCACACCTCTCACACATCTTTCCAAACGATATACATAAATCCTTCTATAAAAGAAAATTGCTAATGCTTTGGATACATTTCAGGGAGTCAGCAGAGTGGGTTTAGATTTTAAGGAAACAATGTTTTCAAATGACTTGTTATGATTTCTTAAGTTTTGAAAGTTTTTAAAAATATATTTCAACGAGAAAGGAAAATTTAATATTACGTAAGATGAAAGTGATATATTGCAGTTTAGCTGTAAATTAGTTTCCTAATTTCAATTCCCTAATAGAGCCACTATGTGTGTTTCCTTACTATGTGGAAGTCTGCTAAAGAGGTTATTCTAGAAATGGTTTCTGTGAGTGTGTTTACATCTAGGTTCTTTTTCTTTACTCTTTTCTTGATTTTTCTGCCTTCGTTACCAGTCACATTAGCATCGGTCTACTTAACTCTAAGATTCACTCTTTTTGGCTTTTGTGCTGTGTCATCTGTCTCTCTGGAGTCGGCTTGAGCCCTTGTTGAGCCCTTGTTTAGTGTGTGTGTCCAGTGCACACACACACACACACACACACACACACCTGCGTGCACATGCACGCACCTTTCAATAACATGCAACTGACTAAGCAGATTACTCGCTAAGCCGCTTAAACTGACAATAGAACCAGTCGCCGAACTGTTTGGCTATTTTTGTCCTGTGATTTCCTGCGTGGATGTTCGGCTCAGCACACACACACACACACACACACACACACACACACACACACACACACACACACACACACACACATACACACACACACAGAATAAGTCAGAAGAAGTTAAAATACAAGCTAGAAAATATGAGTTACTAAAAGAGGCTGAAAGTGCTATGTCTTCGTTGGCCGCCAGGAGGAAAAGAAAACATATTCACATATAAGATTATACAAAGGCACGGAAGATATCAAGATTTTTCAGCACTTGTAGTGAGAATGAAAGAGGCCACAAATGAAAATTGAAAAAAAAAAGAACTGAGGATCTACTACATTTTGTCCTTAAAGAATGGAAGAACCATAGAAGGCTAGAGAAGTTAGAATATTCTGCAACTATAAATGAAGACACAATATATGTTAGATTAAACACTGAAGAAGTCACCACTAATAATTTGTTTAAAAAACAAGTGATCAACGTGAGATGTATAACAGCCGTGTCTACTATGTCCAGTCCACCTCACTGTGATGTATCTCAGCCGTGTCTAGTATGTCCAGTCCACCTCACTGTGATGTATCTCAGCCGTGTCTAGTATGTCCAGTCCACCTCACTGTGATGTATCTCAGCCGTGTCTAGTATGTCCAGTCCACCTCACTGTGATGTATCTCAGCCGTGTCTAGTATGTCCAGTCCACCTCACTGTGATGTATGACAACCGTGTCTAGTATGTCCAGTCCACCTCACTGTGATGTATCTCAGCCGTGTCTAGTATGTCCAGTCCACCTCACTGTGATGTATAACAA